ATGATCTTTAAGGTCCCTCCCAACCTAAGCCATTCCACAATTTTGTGGTTCAGTGATAATCAGAAATTTTCTATCAGTGCCCTCCACAGTTGTCTGTTTTTGGGGTTTTTTTTTTAATTTTGTGCACTGTGAAGGAAATGCAGAACTTCCCTTAGAGGAACACATAAAGCTTTTATGCTGATGAGGAGAATGAATACCAGGTTAGACAGCAAAACAGCAACAGCATGACTTAGATAGAAAAAATACTTCCTGGTGTAATAACTGGGCCAGATGAAAGAACAGACTTGGTTCTCATAATTCCAAAATTTATCAGGAGCAGAACTGGGAAAGGAAGAAAACCAACTTTCTCTCTTTATAAATTTCTCTGAAATTCCAGTTCATGTGACATTCCTACTCTGTTGTGGTCTGGACTTTCAAATGAAACTAAAGAATCTGAGAACCCCAGAATGGTTTGGGTTGGAAGAGAACTTAAAGATCATCCAGTTCCACCACATGCCATGGGCAGGGACACCTTCCACTATCCCAGGGTGCTCCAAGCCCTATCCAGCCTGGCCTTGGACACTTCCAGGGATCCAGGGGCAGCCACAGCTGCTCTGGGAAGCTCTTCCAGTGTCCCTCAGTAAAGAATGTCTAACACCTTATCCATCCCTGCCCTCTGGCACTGGGAGCCATTCCCTGGCTCCTGTCCCTCCATCCCTTGTCCCCAGTCCCTCTCCAGCTCTCCTGGAGCCTCTTTAGGCCCTGGAAGGGGCTCTGAGCTCTCCCTGGAGCTTCTTCTCTCCAGGGGAACATTCCCAGCTCTCCCAGCCTGGTCCAGAGCAGGGGGGCTCCAGCCCTGGAGTATCTCTGTGGCCTCCTCTGGGTTCATTTCAGCAGCTCCACATCTTTCTGTGCTGGAGGTGGGATCTCAGAGCAGAGCTGCAGAATCCCCTCCCTTGTCCTGCTGCCCACCCTGCTTTTGTCTCTCTGGGCTGGGAGTGCTCAGTGCTGGGTCTGACACAGTTCCAGGATTGGTGCCCAACTCCAAACAGCTCCAGGAACAACATTTCTGTGACAGGAACTCCTCAATGACACCTACACTTTGAAATGTCAATTACTTTTGGAAATCAAATCCCCATACCCAGGCCATGCTCAAGCCATTCTTTATTTTGGTATTTACCCAGATTTATGAAGGAACAGAGAGCTCCTATCTCATATTCCCCTCTCTCTGCAAGGCTTTATATGTAGTGTGCCCTTTAGAAGTTATTGTGCACCACATAATTCAGTTTAATATGCTGCTTTGTTACATTACCTTTCCTTTGATATTACTCTCCTGAAGGCAATACGACCTTGAAGGTGATATTTTAAACCAATAAATGAGGAGAGGAACTGAAAATCAAACTGAATGCTGTAAGCCAGAAGGCTGGATTTTCATCTCAGGCCTTTATTTCCCTACATGAAAAATACAGAAGTCTAACATTTATGTAATTACATTTTTTTCTTGATTTGCCAAGGGGGACAAATTTTATGCAAATTCTTGTCTATTATGAATCCTCCTGTCTATGTATGAATCCATGAATTCCATTGCCCATTGCACTATTACTCCTTTGTGCAGCCCCCCATTTTTGAAAAAGGGGTGCTGGAGATAAGAAAAATGTCAAAATATTAATTTTGATAGAGAAGGCTCTCTGGAGCCAGCCTTAGCTTGTGCCAGGGGAGGATTAGATTGGATATTGGGGAAAATTTCATCACTGGAAAGGTGGTCAAGCATTGGAACAGGCTGAACAGGGAAGTGGTGGAATCACTATCCCTAAAAGTCTTCAAAAAACACATGGATGTAGCACTTGGGGACAGGGTTTTGTGGTGGACTTGGCTGTGCTGGTTTGATGTTCTGAGAGGGCTTTTCCAACCTTAATTCCTCTTTAAATCTGTGATTATTTCGATTGCAGGACCACTACCTGTAATTTTTTTTTTTCATCCCCTCCTATGTGAAATCCTATTCCTTAAAACTATTCCTTGTTATTATTGATTTCCTAAGATGCTAAAAACTAGGAAAATTTATCCAGCTTCAGTTGGAGTGCATGAGCCACCTCTTCCCAAGCCTTCTTGGGCATCCCTACGTCACTGGGCAGTGGGGAGACCCCATCAGTGCCAGAGGGGGCCCTGCTGGGCAGTTTCACACTCAAGTCACTTTGATTTCCGTGGGCAGATTTCACCCAGCAGGAATTGCTGGCTGCAGCATGGCTTACAAATGTAGGGAGATTGTGCACGCTGCCCTTTATTCCATTTGATTTTTATTTATTTTGTTGTTGTCATCCTTTTCTTTGCTCTTTTAAATTATTTGTTTCAAGTGCACTTTTCCAAGCAGGATCAGACAATGTTCTTATTGATGGGGAATTCTTTACAACCTCCATCTCTCTCCTATTTTAAGGTAAATTACTTGACTTGCTGCTTCTCTCTCCCAATGTCAGCACATCAGTGTTTTCTAACACAATGAACTTGTAATTTCTTTTTAAATGGGGCTGGTTTTTATCTCTGCATGGAATTGGTACGAAATCAGCCACCTGCTATAACTGAATTTCATCCACACTGCCATGGGATATTTACACTCTGGATGTTCCTATTCTGCAGCCTGAGGATATCCTTGCTTTTCTCTGGTTTGCATTATCCATTCCTGGATAATATTGGAAAATATCTATGTTGAAATATTAATAAAAAATAAAGGTTTTTTTCCTATTCTTATTCAACACAGTTAATTCAAGCAAGACCAACAGGTGTTTCTCCAAAGATCTCATTAACCACTGATTATCTCCAGCATCCCTTGTAAGCAAATGTCTCATTAACGTGGATGTTCACACATAATTTCCTTTTGTACATAGTGCCTCACTTCAGTGAGCCATAAACCCGTCGCTGCACATCCTCAGATTTACATGGAAAATGCATTTCCTGCTGCATGGACACACGCAAGCTATCAAAGAAAATAAAATCTAACAGCACTCAACGTGGTTGTGATTACCATCTTTAGTACATAAACAGTATCACAACATTATACAATCAGAATATCCTGAGCTGGAAGGAACCCACAAGGATCATTGACTCCAAATTCTTGCACAGGAGACCTCAATGTCCCCACCATGGGCTGAGAGAGTCCAAACCTTTCAAATCCCAGGTTTTGAGACTTTTAGATATATTCTAGTGAATTACAGCGCTCATGAGGTGAGATTGTCACCTAACAAAGGAAACAATCCAGGATAGGAGTGGGAAAAGAGAGGTAGAGGAGCAAATGTAAAGAATTAAATTTTTTTCCAGCTCCTGTGATGATTTAATGAGCATTTTTGCCACAATTTTATATTTTGGTGGGTCTTCTTATTAAGATGTTGAATATCACAACAACGTTGTTTGATACTGACCTAATTCTTTAAACACCAACTTACTCAGGTCTGCTCTACTCACCACACGTGGTACTCTCAGCCTTCTATTTTTGTGAGAAAAATAAAACATAGGACTGGAAAAAAATTAAAAAAATAGGAGTGGATTAGCTACCACTGAATCTGATGGGGAAAAAGAAAATACACCAAATCCAGTGCTGAGAACATCCCTGATGGGGAGCTGCTGAATCACCAGAGCTGGGGGAGCCCACACAGCTTTAACGAGCTCATCACCCACATCTCGTTAAATTGGACCCATGCCAGGCAGAAATACTTGGAAGTATTATCTGCTTTTCCTCAAGGTTTTATTTCCCTTGGCACGCAGTCAAAGGGAGAGAATTTTGACAGAAAACCTCGTAGAAAATCATGGAGCTGGAGGCTCTTTTTTGGTTGATAGGATTATTTGCTCAATCTCAACATCAAATGCAAATGAGCAGTGGAAATGTTTAGGTTTGGTTCTTCTTGCTTTTCCTGCTGAGGCAAAAGATGATTTTTATTTGAGAATCACTCCATAAGTATTTTTTTTTAAATATTAGTTGGAAATTTGAGATATTTCTCTGAGTTTTTATGTACACTAGATAAACCTTCTAGGTTTGTGAGCTGGTGAAATGGTGCTTGCAGAATTACAGGAAGATTTATTCTTCTTGAAAGCCAGTTTTTCACACCTTTGGCACAGAGACCAGAAAGAACCAGGAGCTGAGTTCCTTTACTGTATTTACAATTAATTTTAAATTAATTTTTCTTGTATCCCAAGAGAAGACAGCTCCTGCCCAGAGTCCCATCACCTCCTCTTCCTGCATTCATGTAGCAGGAAATTGGGATTTTTTACCACTCACACATTTGATTCAAAGTTTGTTACCTGAGGCATCATCTTTGAACTGTTATTAAAGACCTGCATCTATTTTTAGCTTATGCAAGAAATCATTAGAGGTCAAAAAAATCCCTCTTTTGACATTGTGAGTTTATATTCTCTAGAGCAAAGGCTGCAGTAAAAATAATGAATGATGTTAGGACAGTTCTTTGGTGAGGAAGGGCATTTTTAAAAGAAAATAAGTGGGATGGAAGAGTGAGTTTGTCTCACATATCCACAGAAATGGCTGCAGGATGAAGCAGAAACTGCTTTTCAGTTTTCAGACAAATTTCAAAATGAGTGAGTTCCCAAACCTTCACAAGGATTGAAGCCAACAGAAATTCATGGAGTTAATAAACAAAGATATGATCCATAAGGTTTTTGGTTTTGTCTTTTTTTTTAATTAACCCAGCACTTCTGAAAGATGATACCTAAATGGCAGCAGGTTTCATACTCAAGGGAAAATTTGTTTCTGGCATGTTGGAGTGAAATTGGGACTAAGGAATGTCATATTCTGGGAGAGTAAAGTCTGGCCATTACTGTGTGATGCTACTAAGGATTTTATGCTATTCCTATAAATGAAAAATATTTTTTCTCAAGGAAATTGATGCTGTTTATTATTCTAAAAAATAATATTTTTATTTCTAGAAGGAAGGACCAACCACAAAGCTCAGCAGCAGTGTGAGGAAAGGGATGGATTTCCACCACTAACATTTTAATTTATCCCTCCTTCTCTTCCACAGGTTGCCCAGGAATGTGGGACAATATCACATGCTGGAAACCTGCAAGTGTGGGAGAAATTGTCTTTGTCAAGTGTCCTGCACTCTTCAGATTTATCATCTCTGAAGATGGTAAAGTATTTTCTCTTTCTTCTTCACCTCTGCCTGGTAAAGCCTCGTGGCCAGCACAAGTGTAAAACCTCACTTAGATCCTCAGACATCAAAAACTTCTCCAGCTGGGCTCCAGCTATAAATAAATCACAGAAAACCAGGATATTTGTGTGTAGGTATGTGAGTGTGCACAGGGAGGGAGGGGAGATGTGAACAAAAAGTCTTCACAGATTGCACAACATGAAAATATCACAAATTTGAGCTGCTAAAGGGAATCTTCTGCCTTTGGGTGTCACTGAATTCAGTGCGGACCTAAATCTGTGTTTGGGTCTTGGGGAGCACAGTTGAAATCAATTTTAGAAAATAATTAAAATGTAGAGCAGGTTCTGCTTGTGCTGAAGGAGAACATAGGCTTGAGATGAGCAGTGAGGAGATCCATGTTGGGGTTCAACTCAAATTAAATGGGTTTAATTCCCATGTTGGCAATGAAAGGTTTCTGGAGAGAGGCAGAAGTTCCATCACTTTTTTGTGTGTGATGATTTTTGTTTATGTCTCATTAAAAGTAAACACAAACATAGATATAAACATAATTATAAACATAGACATAAGCATCCTTCTGTCCCTGTGCTGGTAATTAACACAGATTGGAACATTTGCTCCCAGCACCCACTGCAGATCCCTTAATTAGCACTGTCCTTTGAGGAACAAGTTCATCACTGTGGATCCTTTCTCCCAAAATTTATTTTATCAATTAATTATTCATTTACAGCCTTGAGTCAAAAATGTGCTTTTTCTTGCACTGCCACACACACAGAGCACCATTTTTAGGAGACAGTGTTTTATACACAGCTCCAGGAATTCTGAAATCCTCACTTTTAATCCTCACTTCCATTCCAGCATGTGCAGGCACAGGCATCACCAGTGTCACCTAACCAATGACCCACTTTAGAAATAAGATCAACTCAATTTGACCTGTTCCAGGTCTTAAGTAAATGGTTACCTGTTAATGGAAAAATACTTTTAAATATAAATATTTTTTAAATTTAAATTAAATTCTTTCAATAAGAAAATTAGATTTTTTTATTATATTTATTTTATACTTACTTTAAACAAAATATTATAGATTTAAATAAAATCAAGATTTTTATTGTATTTATTATATTCATGGCTTCTATTTATTTAAATAAATATTTTATTTATTTACATTAAATTGTTTAAAGAAAAATAATACAAATTGTTTGCATTAAAATATAATTTCTTTCCATAAAAATGATAGAGCCGTTAGACAAGCAAATAAATAAATAAATAAATAATCATAAATAATAAAGAAATAATATAATATGTAATATATAATATATATAATGTATAATGTATAATGTATAATATATAATGTATAATGTATAATGTATAATATATAATATATAATATATAATATATAATATATAATATATAGTATATAGTGTATAGTGTATAGTATATAGTATATAGCATATAATATATATAACGTATGATATATAATGTAATATATTATATCAATATGTAATATATTGTATATTATATATTGTATATAATATATTATTATATATTAATATTGTATATTTTATATCTATTATATAAGCTTATAATATATGTTTTTGTATATATGAGCTCTATTTATTTATTTTATCTATGTAAAATAAAGGGCTGAAATATCATTTTTAAATATTTTTCCAGGATTTACAGATCTCCTCACACACTGTACTTCCCATTTGGCCTGGGGCAGGGTGACAGTACGACCCTAAGGGAAGAATTTTCCATCCAGTGGAAACATATGTCCCATTTCTTTATCTCCTCATGGGATCCCCAATAAAAGTGACAGCTGTTACCTCGTGTAGGGCTGGGTTTGAGGGAATTTTGGGCATCTGTTCACCAGGAACACACCCAAAATTCATCATTCATTAGATAAACAAATAAACATTTAACCTGAAATCTCAGCAGATGTGGCTGGGACTGCACTGCTGACCCCAAGGTGGAATTATCAACATCCCAGTTATCAACATCCCATTCACTCTCCTGGGTGAATCAGCATCAGCTTTGCCATCATTGCTGCTAATTTTAATTAGCCAAGTGTATTTGTTCAGTGAGGGTTTAATGAAAAAAGCCACATTTCGTGATGGTTCCCTAAATAATGGGTTATTACAGAACTCTAATGTTTCTTAGGCATGGATAATCACATTTTAGGGATTGTTATAGTGTCCTCTGGCTGCTGCTCTCTTTCTAGGCTGGGCATGGACACTAATATTTATTAATAGCAAAATCATTCCTAGTACAGCAACATTTTTATATGGCCATAGATAATTTTTACGAATGCAAAAATAACTTTAAATTATACTTTTAAAAAGTTTGTGCTCTGAAGCAGCTGAAGGTACAACATAATCCCAGGGCAATCATGGGATGTGCTGATCTTAAATAGTGGGTTGGAAATATCTCACCTGGTTTTGGATATTTAAATTTATCTGTGAATTTATGAAGTGATCACATGGATTTCTGGTTCATTAAATAGAAATCAGTGGGCTCTTGTAGAAGATGCTTTTTCTGACCCCTTTCAAATGCCTGTCTGGAGGTGAGCAAAGTCACTGCTTGTTTTGGGAATTTCAGAAAGGAATCTGACTGCCTTTACTTGGGTGTCTGATTTCCATATGGAGCAAAATGGGAAAAAAAATAAAAGAGACTACAAAAGAAAAATTAACTAACTAAGCTGTCATCTGGAGGGATGCTTTTTGGAAAAATTAGCTGTGTATTTAGCTAAAAATACCAGCTGTTGCTGGTTTTAATCTGCTCTGCTTTAACCTTCACTGCAATTAAACCAAATAGTAATTTTTGAGCTGCTGTCACATCATGCAGAAAGTTCAAAGTGAAATTCTGTGTGCTTGGCAACCCTCCCTTCTAAAATTTCATTTCACTTCTCGAATCCTCCAGAATCACCAGAATTTTTCATTCCTTTCAGATGCAGACTGTGAATGAAAGTACTGTTCTTAAAATCTCTCCACTGGAGACTCCTTTCCTCCAATGGAAAAAATCTTATTAATTCCTGAGTCTTTTCTCATCTTGTAAATTAGGGATTATAATTAGTGCCTTTCCTTCTAGATAGTTCCAAAAAATGAATTTTTTTCCCTCTTCCACATGGATTTCTGTGATTGATATCCATCAATCATTATTTCCACCAGGAGCTGTCATTTCCATGACCTCTCTGTTGTATGTTAGTATTTCTCCAGTGCCTTCCCAGAAACACCCACTCCACAACAAGCCATATTTAAAGCATTCTAAGGCATATTTGAAGAGGTAAAAAGAAGAAAATCATATTTTCTGTGATGTTAACCTTTCAGTAGGATACAGCAAAACCTAGAGATGGCCCTGGCACAGTGATCTGCACTCCCAGCTGGAGAATTTTTTCTTCTTTGTTTGATTTTTTTGGGGTTTTTTTTGTTTGTTTGTTTTTGGGGTTTTGGGTCTTTTTTTTTTTTTTGGTTTTTTGGTTTTTTGTATTTTCTTCCCTTATTTTTTTTTCCAGAGAGAGATGATATTGCCTGGCAATGGAAATCTACAGAAGCAAAATCCCTGTTTTTTTCTGCTTGGCACTGTACAACTGAAATATTCTGAAATGTATAAACACACCCAAATGGAACTCAATCAACAGATCAGAAATGAGCACATTTTCAGTCCTTTGATTTGCAGTAAGAAGTAATACAAAGGATAATTGACAGTTTCTGAGCATTGCCGTATGCGCCACATTTGGAAAATGCTTTCATTCACAAATCCAAATAATAAATATGAGCAGCTCTTACTGAATCTTCCAGCAATTCAGGTAGTTTATGTGATGCTCAGTTGAGGACACTCCCTGCTACATTTACCACAAAACATGGTTCACTGTGTACAACAGAGAAAATTCTCCTAATTTTTACCAAAGCCATAAAACCTCTCCTATGTTGACACCAGGATTAAGGGTTCCTAATTAAAATCCAGTAGAATAAAGAATGTAATCAGGTATTAGAGAGTTTAAGAGGGAATTACATGCTCTGCTCACATTTCAGAACCAAACTCTTTGCCTTGTTGCTTCTCTTGGTTGAACACAATCAGTGCTCAGGCAATGAGCTCTGTTATGGCAAGAAATTGGAAATAGTCTGTCACTGATCCCATTTAAACACAGGGAAACACTCAAGTACTTTGTTGAACTAATTAATTGATTAATTGATTGTGTAAGAAACCCAGGCCTCGTAAGTGCTGCAGTAGAGATGCCAAGGGTGGACAGTGGGATTGAGCACGGGGTTAATTGGATTTGGGAAGCAGTCTCTGCCTGAGTTTAGTTTTATCCCTAATCAATTAGAATGGGATGACAAGAGAAGAGTTAATGAGAAGGGAAGTGATGCTCTATTTCCAAATCCTTTTGTGTCCTTTCTGGAGAGACAGTCCTGGTAAAGGGCTTTAAAAGCTGACATGGAAAAATGGTACAAAACCCCCAAATTGGGTGAAAAGACAATAAAAGTCACTGACTTCCCAAAGTGAAAGCTGTTGGAAATATTTGCAAATTACAGTTTCTATTAGTTTGGGTCATGTATTGATAGTTTTTTGTTTAGACAGGAACAAAAAGTGACAGATAAGGATCAGGGGCCTCCTAAAAACCAGAATATCCCTGGAAGATTGTATGCTTGTTTTCTACTGAGGTAAAAGATGCAGGGTTTTGTTGCTACTGCTGAAATTAAGGCCAGCATTGCAGCAGAGGGAAATTGGAAATTGCATTAGCCTGTCAAAAAGGCAAAAGATCAATGCAAAGGTCCAGATTTCTCTTCAAGGATGTTTTGCCTGGATAAATATTCCAACATCCTGCTTGGAAACTGAGGGAAGGAAAGCCCTGTAACCAAGTTTTCTGTGGAAAACATGTATGACCCATCCCAGCATTCTCATCACGGGAATGATAATGAGCCATTGGAGCTTATTTATATTTATTTATTTATTAAAGCAACCAGGACTCTGAAACCTTTGTT